AGGCTGCCCCGCTGCACCCCGCGTCCGAGGCGAGGGGCGGGGGGCTGCTGGCACATTAATGCTCAGAGCTGCGCCCTTCCGCTCCCGTCGCCTGCGCTGCCCCATCAGCAGTAACAGTCTGATTAATTCGCTTCCAGCAGGGAGCTGATGGGGCCAATGATGGAGCCGCTGCATCAGGCGCGCTGAAATTGATAGTTTTTCACAGTTACAAATGAGGAGCCTCCTCAGCTGCAAATGGCGCCCGCACAGTCGGACTCCGGTAATGATCATAAAGAGGCTCTCTTTAAACTGCGAAAGCCCCTGGGACCGAGCGGGGGGGCGGCTGCCGCGCTAATGAGAACTACAAGGGGCGAGCAGGCATGGAAATGGCTCCTCCACTCTTGATGTGCATTTAACTGCTTTTTTAGTGCGGCGGCAGAGCCAGGAACGAAGGAGTGATGAATGCAGCACAAAAGCATTTATTTTCCAATTCGGCGTTGGGAAATGTATGAATTATTTTAATTCACTCAACTGTCCTGAAACATCACAGAGAGCGAGTGAGCGTGGGGGGAGGGGGCGGGCCGCGCTCAGTGTGTGCTCCAGAGACAGGAATTACTCCTATTCGTTCAACTGCCCCAAAATCTGGGAGCTGGGGATGCCAATGAGGAGCAGAGATGGGGGCAAGCAATGGTTACTCCTCACACGGTGAGCTGAGAGTGGGGCAGGCGAGGGAGCCAGGTCAGAGCAGTCCTGCCGCAGAGCAGCGTCCCTTGGCTGGAGGGACACTGCTTTACCGTGCCCAGCAGGAGAGCTTCTCCACCCGGTTTGGACACTGCCAGCTGACCCTCACGAAGGTGCACGGTCCCAGCAAGGCCCCAGAGGCTGTGTCCAACACCCGTGAGCAAACTCTGGGCTCAGAGTCACCGGGCAGAGCTCAGGACTGCCCCGTCACCAAAATAAGCCTCCTCGTCTGCTGCAGCCGAGGGGAGCGGGGTCAGAAGTGGTACTTACAGGGGTTGGGGCAGCTGCCAGGGACAGCCACGGCCTCGTTCCACTGGTCCGCGCTGGAGACGGAGTAGGAGCGCTGGTGCATGCCGTCTGGCTTTGAGCTGAAGCCTACCAGGTTGATGCCGCTGATGGAGCGCTCCGAGTGCAGGGAGGTACTGCTGGTTGAGTGGGGAGCACCTGCAAGAGAGACATGAGTTTAGCAGGGACCAACGGCTGCTCTGAAGCACGGTGAAAGAAGGAAAAGCTCTCCCGTACCTGATGCCACATGCCCCTGGGTGGCCCTGCATGAGGACAAGCTCTGCCTGGTTCTCCTCTCCCAAGGGGTGCCAGTGCATCACCCCCAAAAGTGCTGAGAGAAGAGCACTGCCCAGCACACACCACTGCTCAGACGGACACCCAGCTTGGTGATTTTCACACAACACCCCGGGATGCACAGCTAGGTACGCTGGCCCACAGCTTCCCCTCCAGCCAGCTTTTGCAGCTGGAGTTCACGGTCTGCTCACAATCGTCACTACAGCCTCAGGCACCTGGACAAACACAAACCCACCACACAGCCAGCACGCCCCTCCTCACTCCTTAATTTCACTCTTTGTGTGTCTCTAGCAAGAAAAACAACCATGTTGGAGGCGCTGGGAGTGAATGTAAAATCACATGGAGG